TTTGGCCAGGCAGTGCATGAGATTTTGGTTAAAGGTGACATTTCCTTTTTAGTGTCATCAACAAAATGCAGCATTTATGTCTTCAGATTCTTAACGATTGAGGAGCAGATGGATTTGTAGCTTCAAGGTGTATTCTCTTTACTTTACTTAGCATATTTATTTTGTTACACTCTAATAACAGATCAGTGTACATCATCAGGGAGGTGCTTTTCATCCCCTACTTTCATGTGCATCAAACATGGAGACTGATTTTTCTTGTTTCAGTGCCTCTAAAGATGTAATCCTTGGAGGAACAAATGTTCATATTTGTTTGGGACTGAAGGATGTGGCTCTTCTTGTGAGAGAAGCCAAAACAAGATTAGATTATTGATCAGCTGTGAGACAGGTTTTATAGATCTCTGTAATCCAGTAGTGATGCAGTTTCAGGTTTCTTCTGCGCCTAACTAGGATTGATTTTTCTCAAACAGGCGAGTTCTTCTGTTCAACCTTCAGCTTTCGCTCAGCCCAGAGGAGAGCTGGTGATCTCACTGAAGTACGTCACGCCTAAAAAGAGCACAGCTGAGAAAACCAAAGGTAAGGAATGGGAAAATGGCCTCCAGCTTTAATGTTTGATGCATTTTAAGTTTTTAACAATCAGTCTTCCCATCAGGGAGAAAAGCAGCGGCTGAGGGAGGTGGAGAGCTTCATGTTCTAATTAAGGAGGCGAAGAATTTGGTGGCAACAAAAGGAGGAACATCAGACAGCTTTGTGAAAGGGTTGGTGAGAACCTTTAATGGTTTATTAGAAGCCAGTGAGATTTAGACTTTATTTTTAAAAAAAATTTTATGGTGAACGTTTCTGAAGCATTCACACTTTCAGGACAATCCTGCTATGACTTTTGGTATCGGTGCAACTTTAGCTTTTAGAAATATTTAGCCTTTTCTGGTTCAGCTTCTTTCAGCTTCCTTGTGCAGTTAAACTTTTTTTTTTCCTCCAGCTACTTTAAGCTAATTTCATCTTTTTTTTTTTTTTTTATTCCCCCACACACACGCACCTTTTTTATGCAATCCTTTTTAGATTCTGCTAACTACAACATTGTTGTGCTTCTAACTTCTTCCTGACAATTTCAGCTTACTTATGCAAGTTTCAGCCTTTTCTGCAATTTCAGCTACTGATTAGTCATCTTTATGCTTTTAGCTTTTTCGGTTAATTCCACGTTTTTCGCACTCATTTCAACTTTTTTTTTATTATTCCTCCCCCCCAAGCCTAATTGGACAAACGTGTTCTTTCTGCATTCTTCTGCTAATTTAAGTTTCTACCTTTAGCATTTTTTTTTTTAGCCGTTTTCAAATAAATTAAAGTTTTTCTTTGTAGTTTCTGCTACTTTCAGCCTAATTAACTTTTTTTCCCCTCTGCTAATTTAACCTTGTTATGCTCCTTTCAAGTTATTTCTGCTACTTTCAGCTGTTTTCATGCTAATTTTCTAACCAATTCCACATTTTTGTGGGCAAATTTCCTAATTATATTCCAATTTCTGCTTATTTAAACCTCATTCAGCAAATGTGTTCTTTATTCTGTGAACTTAAGCTTGTTCTTTTGAGCTACATTTCAGTTTTTTTTTTTTTTTTTTTAAATATAATTTCAGATGGTTTTTTTTCAGCAAATTCTTCAATAAACATTCACATTTCTCTAACTTGGTGTTCATTGCTCCACAGACACTTGTTTCCAGCAAAGGCAAAGAACACAAAGAGGAAGACTGTGGTTGTGAAGAAGAACCTGAACCCCCAGTATAACAGCACGTTTGTGTACAAAGACCTGACCCTGGAGGAGCTGAGGGAAACGTGTCTGGAGCTGACGGTGTGGGACAGAGAGGCCATGCTGAGCAACGAGTTCCTGGGAGGAGTCCGCCTCAGCTCGGGGAAAGGTTAAATCAACGTTTTATCTTCAGTTAGACGAGGAAATAAAATATTAATGTGTTTACCTTTTTAAGTAATTCTGCCCTGCCTGATTTTGACTTCAGAGCTATTTATCCATTTTTTAACAAATGTTTTTTTTTGTTTTTTTTTTACATCTGCTAAAAGGCAGGTTTGTGTAAAAAAAATAAATAAATAAAATAAAACTTTCAAAACTTAATGTTCAGGCTTTGGTTTTAGTTCTGAGAAAAGTGTCACACAGGATGATTTAGTCCATTTAAAATGACTTTGGCTTGTTTTTCTCTTTATGGGAACTTAAAACGAGGGAAAGAACCTCCTCCTCTCATCATAAGTCTGATAACCGCTTTTTGTGTAATCTTTCCTCTGCAGGCGCTGTGAAAATAGGAAAAGAGGAGGTGGAGCCGGATTCTGTCGGAGAGGAAATGGGTCTGTGGCAGAAGATGATGCAGTACCCCGACTCTTGGGCAGAGGGCACTCTCTCGCTGCGTTGCACCATGGGAAAACCAGCTGAAAAATGAAGGACTTGTAGGACTGAACCCTCAAATGATCCGACTGAGAGGTTCTGGCCTCAGTCTGTTGCATCATCTACACCAGCCAGACCCAAAGTTTTCTGACCCGTCTGCTCACACCTTCCTCCCTGTGGGGGTTCAGTTCTGGTGTTGCTGTTGGAACGTGTGCCAAAATGTCACAACACTGAGTCACTTTGCTTCAGCGCAGACTGTTTACTGCAATTAAATCTATGAACCGCACTTAAAATTCACAAACGTATTTGTCACCCTGGTCTTTGTGAATCTACACCAGCATCAGTGTGAACAGGAAAACAAACTGGTTTGACTGGGTTTATGGTTTTTAAACTTTTTTATTTAGACCTTAAATGCTGTTGTTCTATCTGTACAGCTTCAGGTAAAAGCTCTTATTTAAAATAAACTGTTTCTGAAATTTAATTTAACTCCTTTTTCTGGAGTCTGATTTGTTGCACTTTCCTTGAGGTCCTCTTAAATATTCTGTAATCTCTGCAGATCTCAATAAAATATTCTGTAATCTCTGCAGATCTCGATTTAAAATTTTAAATAAACTCTATCCTCGCTTTGGTCACATGACTGAACTCGGGCTCAATGTTCTGTTTAAAGAAAAGCCACCTGTCATTCAGGATTTATATATTTATTGTCTCATTAACTTTTTATACTGAGTGGACAGCTCCAGCACTTCAGTGTTAACAGGAGGAACTGTTGTTATCAAAAGTCCATCCAGACCCGCTTTCTGGCTGCTCGATGATCCACGTTTCGTCTCGATGGAAAAGATTGACACCCCGTGGAGTTTTTATTAAATTAGTCACAGAAATCTGTGAGGCGCTAGAGTTTCTCCCGCTCCTCCTCGTCCAGCAGGAAGCTGTCGATGACGGAGAACAGCTCATCCGACGACACCGGGACAATGAAGCGCTCTCGGTCCAGACCCAGTTTGTCCAGCAGCACCATGCTGAAGTAGGACCTGGAGATTCTGAACGCCTGCCTGTAGAGAAACGCAACATTTAACAAAACGGTCAAATTGTAGATGAATGGAGGTAAATTCTGTGCAAAAAAAGCTTAAGTTGTATCCGCTAGAAGGGTCAACTTTAAATATTCAGGTATTCTATAAAAAATAAACAGAAATCAATACTTAGTTTGGACTCTTAATCCACAATCTGACACAATTTGTGTGACGTTACAACACTTTGATGAGAAACGCGACACAAATTTGACAAAACTGCATGTCCTCATGGGAAAGCTGCAAATAGAAGTGTGCTGCTTTCTCAATTTGCACCACATGCACACGGAAGGATGTTGCACACAGCTGAGCCCAGCAGAAGTTTCCATGTGAGAGGACAAAATTAACTTTCCAGGTTTATAGGTTCAGTTGTAAATGTGGAGTATCATGATTTGGGACAGTTTTAGTGCCAGAGTGATTAGAATAATTATGATTTATTAAAGTGGAATTTGACGAGGAAGTAAACAGTTTCTAAACAGACGGTTCAAACAGCGTCCTGTTTTGTTACAACAGCAGTGGAAGTGAACTCAGAGAAGTTCTTCTCTGTGCAACCAACAAACACAATAAATGTTCTGTTTATGAAAACCAGAGGCTTCCTTCATTATCCACACCAGCAGTTCATCTGATTTTTAAATCAGATTATTGATTTGTGCCGCTCTAATCAGAGTTGTGTTTTGGTTTTATTAAACCTTCAGGGTCAGTGTCGGGTGTCTGTTTCAGAGCAAAGACTGGAAGGAGGAAAGTTTCCAGTCTGGAAACAACGAGAGGCACCTCTTTCTCAAATCACACAGATGTTTTAAAAAAAAATTTAATATCAGCCTCTGTATATGTAATTACATTTGCAACATGTATTATTACATATGTAATATTATTTCTGGTTTAACTTGATTTAAAAAAAAAAACAAAGTTTGACACCCTGATGCATGCTCAATAATCCAGGTAGAAAAATCTAAAAAAGTTAAATCTGGTCCTCTGGCCATTCAAAAAAAAAAAAAAAAATTAAAATTGTAGAAAAGTTTCGTCTTTCATCTGAAAGACTTCCTCAGTCTGAGGTGCTGTGTTCAACCTCAGTTTGACACCATTTTCCTCTTGGATTTTTATTTTTTGTTTTGTTTCAAACTGCTTCTGCAAACGTGATATGTTCTAATCTATGTAGTTCATTTTAGTTCCTTTATAGCTCAGTTTACTCTCTGTATTGCTAACTTTAGCCTTTGTTCTGCTCACTTTAGTCTCTGTTTTTTGCTTTTTATCTAACTGAAGCCCCTGTTTAGCTCATTTCAGCCTCTGTTATACTCATATAAGCTTGTTTTGCTCATTGTATGTGTTTTAGTCATTTTAGACTTTGTTTTGCTTGTTTAAAAACACAGTTTAATCTTCTTCAGTAAATTTCAGTGACATAATTCAGCACTCAGCATTACCATTGTATATTTGCAGAAAATGCCACTTCTCTAGTTACCGTACTTTCCGCCGTACACGTCGCACTGACGTATAAGTTGTATCAGTCCAAATATGTCTAATAAAGTGGGGGGAAAAAACAAAGTCACTTCGCTGTATAAGTCGCATCTATTATGCGTCACCGCTGACCACCCAAAAATGTGGGCCGGTGTTGTGCCAAAAATCGATTGGCTGCCAAATGGCGGCCACAGGAGGACTTTAACAAGATTAACACTTAAAAACAATTATGTGTTTGCTCGACATTATAGCAAAGGTGTGTTTCAGTTTAACTTTTCTTAATAAATGCACTTTAATGGTCAAATCAGCTGCATTTTGCCGTGCCGCCCAGGCGAAATGCAGCTGATTTGACGTTTGCTCCAGGAGTTCTGGAGCGAGACGAAGGTGGCATTGTATGGCAAGCCAAGTGTCTCATTAATAGCCACTTTTACTTATGAGACACTTGGCTTGCCATATTACTCGAGGGCCATAGGCGTCGCAACCATTATATGTGAAGGGGACAAGTCCCCCCCACCACACATTAAAAAAAGTTAATTTAGACCTCCCACTTTTACTATGAAACATTAGTCCAGGTGGCGCAGTTCCTCTTTCTTTGTGAACAAATCCATTCCACTTGATTAACAGGAGAATACTCAAACCACTAAAACTCCACTCCAGGTTTTCCTGATTACTTCCAACTCTAAACACAGCAACCTGTTGCCACGGTCACAATATACGGTGGTCACAGAATATGGTGTAACACCTGCAGTGTTTCTGTGCGTCTCCTCCTGCCTCTGCAGAAAACACACACAGGTGGAGGAGATGGAGACACCTCTAGTGTTACTCGCTCACCAGTTTAGCAGCTTTGTGCGGACAGTTGTTGATCGGGGGGTTGATCATAAACATATATTCATGTTAGGAGGGGAGAAGTGGAGCGCTACGTCTGTAGCATCTTAGCTTAGCAGTAACTGATGCTGTAAGATGCTGCAGGTGTAAGAGACGCTGTGCGTTCAGGTGCATTAAAGTTGAAATGTCTTTAAAACCCCACACCTTATCGTTGTCAAGCTTCATGAGAAACATTTAGATGAGTAGTGTTGAACACAAGTAAAAATGTCTAGTGGTGATGTTTTTTGAATTTCACAATAAACACAAATAGTGCCGACCTGACGCTCTGTATTAAAGTGTATTAAAGTTTAAATTACTTTAAACCCACAGCTGAATTTACACAACTTGGTGAGAAACATGTTTTAAATGTGTGGAATTAAAGGAAATCTAGGTGAAATGCTGCTTTTTTGTTCACTAGTGAACACCTTTTTTTTTTACGTCCGCCCCCACATTACGGATGCTTCTGATACCCTTGTCAAGGGCCCGCTAGTCGCTGCAAATGGTAGTGTTTAATATTTTTCATGTCAGAATGAATGAAATAGTCAGATCTCAGCCAAAAATTGGTTTAAAAATATGGGGAATAAAAAACGTATATTAGTTGCTTCTGTGTATAAATCGCAGGACTTGCAAATTTATGCAAAAGTGTATGACTTATATGGCGAAAAATACGGTACTCATATGGTTTTGTAAATCCTTGTAAAGTGGATCAGTGTTAACCTGCACTAATTGTTGCCACATTTAACCAGGTCAAACTTTGGAGCAGATTTTTTTTTTCCTTTTGAAGTCACGCTAACAGAGTTTTTGACTGGCAGACAGTGAGGAGAAACGGTTCATTACTACTAATTAGATTAATAAACGTCTAAAAAAATGACTGCAAGATGGAAATTTCTCCCAAAATGTGCTCTCTTTTTCTCAAAATGAACCAGCTGAGTCAGCAGATAGAGGATCTCACCTCAAACCCTCGATGACGTCAGAGTGAAGCAGGTTTTCTTTGATGCGACCCGTCTCGCGAGGCGGGGAGCCCAGGAGTTCGATGACCGTCACCTGTCGCAGGTCTAACCAACAGTCTGATTTCTGGTGCAGAAAAAAAAAACAGACATTTAGAGGTTTCTTGGTCAATGAATGTAATTAAAACTATTTTTGGCAGATAATGTTGTCTCACTTGTATCATGATGTTCTGCAGCTGGTAGTCTGTGTCAGATATGTTGGGAGCCGACAGGATCAACAGCCTTCTCTTTTCGTAGAACTGATCCAGGAGAGCGGAGGTGGTCTTCACATCAAAATTCATCTTAATGGCTGCAAACACAAAATCAGTTCCTTTCTGCAGACTTAAACATACTTTTACAGATTGTAAGGCAGTGACATTAGAGACGGTGTACCTCAAGGCTCTATATTGGAACTCTTGTCTTTTAGATTGTAAATTGAAGACTTTCCTGCAGTTTGTCCATCAAATGTAGTTAATCAGATATATGCTGATGATACAGTTGTTTACCTTTGTGCAATAAACAAGTGGAAAGCAGTAACAGATCATCAGCTTTCATGGTTAAGATTATTGCCCAGAGCTATGGAAGGCAGGTAATCGTCTATGACTGTTTGTACATTGCCCCCCCCCCCCCCTGAACATAAGAGGATCTGCGGTGGAAGTGGTCTCCAGCTACAAGTACTTGGGTGTACACATGAATGACAACCTCAGCTGGAGCAACAACACCACCAGCCTGATCAAGAAAGCTCATCAGAGACTCTACTTCCTCAGACGGCTGAGGCGAGCTGGTCTGGGAAGCTCAGTCCTCACCTCCTTCTGCAGGTGTGCAGTGGAGAGCATCCTGTGCTCCAGCATCAATGTGTGGCATGGAGGCTGCACAGCTGCAGAAAGAAAAGCTTTGCAGAGAGTGGTGAAGGCTGCACAGAAATATGTTGGAATCAGTCTCCCCACCATCACAGACATCTACACCTCCAGATGCAGGAAGAGGGCCACCTGCATCATGAAGGACCCCACCCACCCAGCACACTCACTTTTTGCCCCACTCCCCTCAGGAAGGAGGTTAAGGAGCATTAAGTGTAGAACCACTAGACTGAGGAACAGCTTCTACCCTGAGGCTGTTAGACTCATGAATCTCTAACTAGAATAATCACTGTGAAAAACCATATCATGTTGCTGCTGATCTGTTTCAATGTTGGTGTGTTCATGCGTGCACATCTGCTCACGGACTCATGTTCATGTTTGTGCTGATGTTCAATGTTTTATGTTATGAGTGCTTAGTGTATATTTAGTTGATGTTTTTCTTGGTTCATATCTTGGATGTTATTACTGTTTTTCTTATACATTTTATTGTTGGATGTAACTGGGACCTTGTAAACATAATTTCGCTCCACCACATGTACCACATGAGGTGCGAATGACAATAAAGAAACTCTGACTCTGACTCTGACTCTGATTTATTTATTTATTTATTGTGTTAGCAAAATGTCTCATGAACCATGTGGTAGATCTTAATGAAACATGCATTTTAGGCTGATTGGTATTTTAAATTATCCCTAGGTATGAGAGAGTGTGAATGGTTGTTTGTCTTGTTTGTCTCTATGTGTCCCTGTGATGGACCTGAGACATGTCCAGGGTGTACTAATGGCTGAATATGGGCACCAGTGACCCCCGTGACCCCAAAAGTAAGAAGTGGGTAAAAGGTCATGGATAGATTGATGGATGTCTTCAAATATGTAGAAGATCAAAAATATGAATTATTTTCTTACCAGTTTGATACAAATAGGAAGGACTATGTTCCAGTCAATAAAAATATCACAAACAAGCTTTAAAATATTGGACAAAACTAATAAATTATACCATAATTTCAAAATTTAACCTCAACATAGATTTTTCTTTGGGCAAAACGTGCTGATACAAATTTTGTGCCTTTTCAATAATTTCATTGAACCTGTCTACAAACGCTGTAACATGTTAAAACCCATCCATCCATTATCTTTTACCCGCTTCTTCCATTTTGGGTCACGGGGATCACTGGTGCCCATGTCCAGCAATCACTGTGCAAGGAGCAGTGTACACCCTGGACAGGTCGCAAGTCCATCACAGGGACACATAGAGACAAACGAGACAAACAACCATTCACACCTCGGGACAATTTAGAGTTACCAATCAGCCTAACATGCATGTTTTTGGTCTGTGGGAGGAAACTGGAGTACCTGGAGAAAACCCACGCATGCACGAAGAGAACATGCAAACTCCACCCAGAAAGACCCCCGGACCAGGATTTGAACCAGGGACCTGTGCGCTGAGAGGCAGCAGCTCTACCAGTTGTGCCTCCGTGCTGCCCATGTTAAAATCCATTCAGGAAAATTCCTTTGTCCATTCAACTTTCTCTCATACCTGGAATACTGTACAAAAAAAACTACTAAACACCAAAACTCTAAATTTATAAAAACAATGGCAATCATAAAACTAAGACAATAGAGGCTGAAAGGTCCAGAACAGTGATAAAATGGCAATTCTTCGTAAGTTTCTGAATATTCATATTCTATTCCAAAACATTTAGGTCCATTGTTGTGATCGGCTCAAATGTTTTGCACATGTTCAAAACGTTCCAGATGCATTCCAATGAAAAATATTGACCGGTATTCAAAGTGTATTCTTCCTACATTTTGAGTATCCTGGAATCCCAACAGGTAAAGGTCCCAAATGCACCTTAAATGTACCTCAATTGCCTCCAGAATCTATTTGGATATTAAACAATCCAACACAAATGGACTTGGAATGCCCATCAGAATGTTTTATTTGCTGCTGGAATGCATCTGGAAGGCATGTGGAATGTTCTGATTGGCCCTTGAATGAGTCTGGACACAATTCAGGACACCTCTGAATGAACCTACAGTCAGGTGCCACTGGAACCTCATTCTGCCCTGAGGACTCGCCTGATCAACATCAACTCTGCCAGCCATGGTCTGGGTCTGATATCTTCTGGGTCTTCTCCTGATGTTTCTTCCCCAGTGTACTCCACTTCTCGTTTAAGAAGGTATTGCTGGAGGACAGCAATCTGGGGCAGATCTATACAGTCAAGGGTCCATACTTAATGGTACTTGATGACTGTTTCCAAGTATATTTAAAGTACATTTAAAGTATTCAAGCTCCATTCTATTTGAATTCTTGAACAATGGGAGCATATTTGCTCGCCATTCCAGAAGCATTCTGACCACATTCAAGACATCGTCCAACCAGACTTCAAAGTGGAAACTTACGTGCCAGAATGTTTGACTTCAAAGGAAAAAACATTTAGAATTCTACTTGTAATTAAGTGTTTTTACATTGTTTATTTCTGCTGCACAACACAGTACTGTTCACGTGGCTCTGTACTTACGAACACACTCGGCGGGACCTTCGCTCCAGTTGCGGTTGAGCTGGCAGACCCGACTGGACATGCCCTGGCGCTCGTACCCTCCATCACAGTGGTACTCGCACGTGGCTCCGTAGTTATTCCCGTCAGAGGAGCAGCTGAGGTAACCATGTAGAGGTGGAGGTAGTTCAGAACATCTTCTCACTGGAACAAGAGGGAATAACACCAGACTGAGCTCAGCGTTTTAGTGTTTCAGTTCATTTTCTGAGTTGAAAAAGTCCTTACCTTCAACACGGACGATGAACTTGCAGGCGGCTCGGTTCCTGGCCTGATCGTACACCTTGTAGCGGATAATGTTTGGTCCCTCTTTGAATTCAGTGCCAGGTTCCTGACCCATTAAGATCACACTGCAAAGAAAAGATGATCATGTGTTGATTTAAAAAGTTTAAAAAGAAGCATAAAAAAGTTATGTAACATTGTGTCTAATCAGTCGTTGATCCAATACTGTCTGAACGTTTCATTAGAATCTGTTCTGTTAGCCATGTTATATTTTGCTAACAGACACACACACCAGCAAGTGCACACTGCTCATAACATACTTGAGGTACTTGTCAGCGGTGTCTGTGGCAGTGGGGGGGTCCCAGGTCACCGTGGCGGTGAGCTTCCCTGGCTCGGCGACCTTGAGTCTGGACGGTGGACATTTGATCTTTGGAGGTTCGAGATCTGAAAGAAACAAACTGAAGTAAAACTGAATTTCTGTGTCGATGAACTAATGACTGACGAGAAACAGGCTGCGGTTTGGAGCCACACTGAGGAAGAGAGGACGAGGAAAAGTGTGGGGGGGTTTTTTTGTTTTTTTTTGAGAGATTGTGAAATTTATTCCACAGATTATTAGTTCTGTGAAAGAATGACCCAGCAAGATGCTGGGAGCTGAAGAAAAAATATACAATGAGCTGAAGAAGCTGAAACGGAGTTGCTAATGGTAAAAGAAGCAGAACACTAGCTAAAAACTAACAAAAATGTTAGTTAAAAGAAGCAAAACAACAGCTAAAACCAAAAGTAGCAAAAGGCTAAAAGCTAAAAATAAGCAAACTAGATACAAACCAACAGAGACAAAAGACTAGCTAAGTAAGTAATAGAATAAGTAATAGAATAGAATAGAATAGAATAGAATAGAAACAGCCTTTATTGTCCCACAGATGGAAAATTCAAGTGTAACAGCAGCAACAGATAAAAAGATTCACACAAAAAGTTCTTAAATGTTAAAAACAATATATAAAGAAATAAGATAAACAATATCAATAATATTGTTCAATATGTGTTGGAACATTGAGAATGGTAGACTATTTACAATACAGTAGTTTAGGCAGAGTGTGTGTTTTAGCAGACGACAGCGTGTATTTAATCCTTATTGTGTAATAGTAATATTTTAAAGATAAATGTAGCAAAAAGCTAGCTAAAAGCTAAGTAAAGCAAAAATAACTAAAAGCTAAAAAAGCAAAACACAAGCTAAAAACCACAAGTAGTGAAAAGGCTAGCTAAAACAATCAGAACAGTTTTAAAAGCTAAAAGAAGCAGACCAGTATCTTAAAGCAAAAGTAGCAAAAAGCTAACTAAAAGTAGCATCAAAACAGAGAAATTAAGCTAAAGCAAATTTCCAAGAGACATTAGGCTGATTGGTAACTCTAAATTGTTCCTAGGTGTGAGAGAGAGTGAATGGTTGTTTGTCTCATTTGTCTCTATGTGGCCCTGTGATGGACTGAGACCTGTCCAGGGTGTCCCCCGCCTCTCACACAGTGATGGCTGGACATGAGCACCAGTGAAACGAAAAGGAAGAAGCGGGTAAAGGCGATGGATGGATGGATGGATGGATGGATGGATGGATGGATGGATGGATGGATGGATGGATGGATGGATGGATGGATGGATGGATGGATGGATGGATAGATGGATAGATGGATAGATGGATAGATGGATAGATGGATAGATAGATAGATAGATAGATAGATAGATAGATAGATAGATACATGGATACATGGATGGATAGATACATGGATACATGGATGGATGGATGGATGGATTCTGAGAAAGACTGAAAGATGATGTATTTTAATGTCATAAAGAAAATAGTAAATAAAGTGAATTATTTTGAAAAGTACAAAAGCTACAAAAACTAAAATCCATAGCACCCTTCGCTTGAATGAGCTGAACATTTTGATATATAAATGGCTAAAGTAGCAAAAAGTGTACAGAAATAAATTGCAAAACAAGAAAAAGGAAACCAGGAAAACAATAGTGCTGAGTTGCTGAGTCATCATCCAGGCTGAAGTGCAGATGGACTGAATCCAAATTAAAAGTGAATTTTCATAAAGTCAAAATAAAATCTTTAAAGTTTGAACATTAGTTTTGTTTGTCTGAAACTACCTGAACACTCTGGCTGCGCCCCGCTCCATGACCCCCTGGGCTGGCAGGTGCGTGAGTGTTCCCCCTCGATCCGATAGCCAGGGGCGCAGGTGAAGTCACACCTGGAGTCCACGACGAAGCCCTGGGTGCAGGTGTACCTGCCGTGTGGGATGAGGGGCAGCACGTGGCACCGGATCTCTGAGGAAACATGAAGACAAACGTGCTGGGTGTGTTTAGAGACAGGTCAGAACAGCTGATCTGTGGTCAGTCGAAATGACTCCATATGATCACTTTTAATCAACCATAACTGAATTTTAGTCATGTTTTAAAGGCCAGGCTTCATGTTTTAATCAAAAGTCTCGTATTCTCCAGGAGTTTCTCTGTGTTTTATGTAAAACCTTGGCGTACTGCGACAGTAGGCGGTCCCAGACCAGCGGCGGTTGGCAAGGCAGTGGATCGACTTTCTTCCCAGCAGCCGGTACCCTCGATCACAGCTCATCTCGCAGAGGGCCCCTAATCTGCCCCCATGGCCCCCACCTCTAGAGGAGCGACAGGTCACCTCTCCATGGCTCAAACTCAGAGGACGACACCAATTTGGGTCTAGATTGAAAAAAAAAAAAACGTGTGGAGCATAAAGGATGGAAAAACAGAAGATCGACCTTATTTTGTTTGAATTTAAGATAAAACTAAGGCTTAACATCATAAAAATCCTCTATTAAATAATGACTCATCTGGAATATAAGTTAACATTTGTCTCAAATTTAACAAATAAAGTTCCATATCTTTACAAACTGGAGTAAAATTTGTATGGCCAAAAAAATTATAATAATTAAATAAACTGCCCTTTATAGCACAATCTTGACATTTTGATTAAAAATTACTTACATTTATCAAAATAAACTTGTTTTATCATCAATATCATAAGAAATGTTTAATATATTTATTTAATATAATCAAGACCAATGTTTAATATCAGATCATCCTCTAAAAATGTTTTTTAATCATTTTTAAATTAATAAATATTCCTGAAATGTTTTCAACAGCAGAAATGTACTAATATTGTATTTAAATTACAACAAACGTATAAATATCTCATCGTCCTCTCAGAATTACATTTGGTACTCAGCTCTGTGTACTTGTACACCAGATACAAGGTTGAGTTTACTCTGATTCTTCATCCTGTGTTTTATTTGTACCTTTGTAGTCGAGCTGAGGAGAGTTTTCTTCCTCTGTGAAGTCGCTGTAGCTGTCGTCGACTGTGGTCGCTGCTCCTGCTGGAGTAATAAAACCCAGACATGAGGGACCAGCAGACAGATCTTCACCGCTTCATAAATCCTCAAACAGACGAGTCAGCGAAATGCAACGACAGAAACATGCAGGTCGCACAGAGACAGCGGGACATGTCTCATTTCCACTTCCTTCAACACGGGTCAAACACTTTAGGACACGAACATCTGGATCAGTGATCAGCAGCTCTGATGGAAACTCCTGAACGATTGCTGATGTGTTTAAGTCTAACATTCACTCATTCACATTTGGATTTATGTTTGGCTATTTCTAAAATATTTTTTCCAATATGTTTCTTCTAATTCGTAACAAACAAGGCATGTTCATTTTTTCTTTATTAATATTCAAATTAAAGTCTTTATCTGCAGACAAACACTTCCTACAGCTGGAAGCCATTTTTTATTTTTCTCATGTTTCCACTGGGATTAGTTTGGATATTTTCTGTGACAACATCTTTTATCTTTAAAGTTGAAATGATTTTCCATCTCCTACTGCTTCTACATAGTTCGGTCACATATAGACCGCAGGTCTGGCAGAGATTAAACGTCCCTCTCCCCAGAAACACTCGCTGGTGTTCCCAGGCCATAAATGACATATCAAGTTCAAGTTCAAGTTAGACTTAATGTCATTTCACCACATGTGGTACATGAGATGGAATGAAATTGTGTACACGGGGTCCCAGTTACATCCAACAATAACAAAAATATAAAGTGTAAAAAGAAACAGTAAATAAGGATCTAAGATATAAACTATGCCAAACGGTACACTAAAAGATCTAAGATATACGCTAGTCACTGATAGTGCCAAACAGTCCGCCAAACAACAGCAGCATGAACATGAGTCTGTGTGAGTAGATGAGTACGAATGAGTGGGACATCATTTATTTATTTTTTTATTCATTTTATTGATTCATTCCAGATATATCAAAACCATTGCACACTGCAAAGGGTGTATCAACATCAACACCAATATGCATCTGTGCATCCATACATAGGCCTACTTGTATATACCTACACATATACACACATACACGCACGTTTGAACACACAGAACCCCTTGCAAAAGAAACCCACATCTGCAAATACATCTGCTTTGACTGAATACACACAAAATTAATAATAATAATAATAATAATAAGTTTAACCAAATGTGCACACACCTATCCATGTACACACATATACATGCACACACACAAATCCCATTAAACATGTCTGAAAAAGGGTAGGAAGAAGTAAAACTTATTTAATCCTACCCCTTCTCCAGTACTTAATAGTTACACCTTACATCCATCCGGTTTTCCAAGTCTTTTGGGTCCACGAGAGGAAGAAAAGAAATACTACAACAACAACAACAACAACAACAACAACAACAACAACAACAAATATATATATATATATATATATATATATATATATATATATATATATATATA